ATACGACCTGCGTGTGTTTGCGTGTCTGCGCATATGTGTCTGAATGTATGCGGCCTATGTGCACGCACGTGCAACGGTAGCACGAGCACACACCGGTATGGCAATTACTTCGTTGACTTAACGCGCGATAGCATGGCGTGTCCGGTGAAATTTATGTTTTCATTCATGACGCGACTGCGCGCGAGCAATATCCGTGCGCCGACTTACTAATCGCACTGGCGCGACGCGTCGCGTCGCGGCCACCGGGTTTCTCGCGCGACCCTTAATTCGAAATTAAAAGGACCCGACTCCACAGGTTTAGGCAGACGATCCCTGGGGGTGAGCTCGGCTATTGAATAAATATGTAAACAAGGTAATAACATGCAAATTCTGCGGGACCCCGGGCTACCGGCCGACTTCTTTCGTCGACTTTCGAACGAAGAAAAAGTCCAAGGACCGAGCACCGTTTTATTGCGAATTATTGGGCGTATATCACGTCCCTCGGTGTTCACCGTGGGACGCCGTGATCTATTGGACGATCCGCTTCTAGAATCGCAAAGGGTCCCGAGCGAGGAATTCTAGGAGAGGGCAAAGGGTCCTGAGTTATTAGATACCGGTGGCCAAGCATTTTTCAGACAGTTACGGGAATACGTTTTTGACCTCGGGATATGTTTGCAGTGGTTAAAAGTAAACGTTTCAAGTAAAGACTGCATTCATTGGCAAGGAATGAACCGTGAAATATTGTTGGCAATGATTAATAGTTGAATAAAAGATAAAAGTAATTCAGTTGTGCAATGATCGAAGTTTTTAGTCGGTTACTTTTTTAGGATCTCTGTCTCAACGCAGCGTCCAAGAGTTAAATAAATGAAAAGTAAATTGAATTCCTTTATTGTTGGAAGAGTCGGATGGACGAAATTGAAAAAACCGTGGTTTGAAAGTGGAAGCATGTAAGTTGAAAGTTATCTCGCTAGATGGAGTTCGAAACTTGATATTTAAAAGTCGAGATGGAGGATAATCCTTACATCAAGTTATTATTGTTTTAATCAAAGATAGATGAATTTTAATCAACCTTCACATCAGCAGAACCCTTACCAATTAACATTATATTATATTCACTCCACGTCACTCATGTCTTCAATTCTATCGCATCGAAAGATTATACGTGACACGTCGTTTAACTCCTTGCCATATGATTTCTTTCACGACTGCACTCGATAGAATTGTTTTATTGCTGCTAATTCGCTAGAAGACAGAAAGTAATTTATACTTATTCTATGTATGTTTACTTTGGAAAATTACCATTGATAATAAAACAATAATATTTAATTTGTATTCAAATGGATTAGATGATATTATTATTTGTTAAAATCTGTTTGAAATCTTCATCACGAGTTTCATAGGGCAAGGGATTAATTGGATCATCAAATTATCAAGAGCTCTACCTAATATGAAAACCGATGGACTAATCGAAATTGGAATTTGAAACGTTCGAGTCGATTGCTCCGATCCCTGACCTCGCGCTTCGACGCGCTGCATTCTGCAGGGTTTTGTCGCGAGAGCCGAAAGAAAAATGGCGCGATGCGGCGCCTGTGTCTTCCCGGCAATGCTTTTCCTCTTAATGGTCCGGACGATCCGTTTGCCGTGTAAACAGGCAGAAATAGAATCTGAAGGGCCGCGTTGATACCATGGAATAACCGAAGAGAACTTCGGAAAGGAAGAGCTACACGATGTTCACAAAGCGGCAGAATTTCTGCTGGAAAACGCCCGCCGATATTAATAAAGACAAAGATCCGCGGGCGAATTTCCATCCCAAAGATCCTGCGGGACGTGTTTTTTCTCTCCCCGCGGACGCATCCATATTCATCACGGCGATCGACCGATTTGAATTTCTCGTTTTCTCGTGGAGCGCGCGGCCGTGATCGCCATTGTAAATACCGATTTTTCCCTTCTTTCACGTCCCCCTTACTCCTTCTTCCCGACGCACGGACGTACGGTCGATGAAAAGGAGGAGGAGGAAGAGGGGAAAGTGCGAGAGAGAAAAACTGTAGGTATAATTTGTTGGCAGCGAGACAGGACCAAAAGCGGAACGAAGGCTCAGGCCAGAAGAGAAACGTCGTATTTCATTTCGCGCTCGGTTTTACAACATTCCGGACATTAATGTCGTCAATTACCGTGCACGTCTTCGTCCGTTTTTATCGGGTCGATTCATTTACGATGAGGTTGGATGACGAGGGGAGGGGGGAACAGAAAGGCAGGATGGGAAGAGGGGGGCAAGGGAGGGCAACGCCGATCATGAAAATTTATCGACCTGGCGGAGACGGACGCGAAACCGTCGCGGAACGCTTTATATCTTGCGCCGTCGTCGATCTTTTAACAGAAACTTTCTTATCCCTTCTCCCTCGGTTCTTGCCGCCGCTCCGGGAATAGACAGTTCTCCCGTCAGATATGGCAAATAAAACGAAAAAGAGATCTGACACGACGAGAATCTATCTGGTACAAGCCCATCCCC